CCTGGGGAGCGCACTCAGCTGTCTCCGTGATCACTGTGTCCTATGGACACAGCTGATCACATGATGTGGTAAAATGCCAATCACAGCGGCCTTTTACCATGTGATCAGCTGTTTCCAATGACACAGCAGATCACCAGTAAATGCAATTGCTGATTGTCGGCTGCAACTCATGCTGTCACAGAATTGTCAGCGGACGGATCGGCACTGATCATCAGGGCACTGATCAACAGTGCCCTGATGATCAGTGCCCAGCATTGCCACCCACCAGTGCCGCCCACCTGTGCTGTCCACAAGTGCCCAGTAGTGCAACCCACCTGTGCCCATCAGTGCCCAGCAGTGCCACCCACCTGTGCTCAGCAGTGCCACCCATCAGTGTCCAGCAGTGCCGCCAGCCAGTCAGTGCCCAGCAGTGCTGCCAGACAGTGCCATCAATCAGTACCCATCAATGCTGCCCATCAGTGCCGCCTATAAGTGCCCATCAATGCCACCTATCAGTGCCCATCATTGTTGCATATCAGTGCAGCATCATCAGTGACGCATCATCAGTGCCAACTCATCAGTGCTGTGCATCAGTGCTGCCTATCAGTGCCCATCAGTGCTGTCTACCAGTGCCCATCAGTGCAGCCTCATCAACGCACATCAGTGAAGGAGAAAAACAACAACTTTTTTTTAAAATGTTTTGCTCTTTTTTTGTTTATAGTGCAAAAAATAAAACGACCAGTGGCAATTAATACCACCAAAAGAAAGCTCTATTTGTGTGAAAAAAACTATAAAAATTTCATATGGGTACAATGTTGCATGACCGCACAATTGTCATTCAAAGTGTGACAGTGCTGAAAGCTGAAAATTGGCATGGGCACGAAGGGGGTATAAGTGCCCGGTAGGCAAGTGGTTAAAGGGATTGTGCATTTCCCATAATAAAATCACTGCTCTTTATCAAGCAGAATTTTTTTCAAAGTCCTTTTTATTGAGAAATGTTTTCATCTTACTACAACAACACTTAAGACACATTCAGAAAAACAGAGGTTTCCATAAACATTACACATATTTACAGTATGGAACACATACAAAGCATGCTGTTGTATACAAGCATAGTAATGTAGCAAGTGAAATAAATGTCGTCTGTGAAAACATCTGCTGGCAAACTGGAGGTCATGTTCCAAATTATGCATTAATATAGGAAAAAATTAATATCTAGTATGTATAGAGCATAAGTCAACAGTTGCAACAGAGTGAAAACATTTTTCTACAATTGTCAAAAAAATAAAGCCATTACTGGGAATTTCGTCTATGTGCTCATTATTCCATATGCTGTATACGCTAAAACATTCAAAACATTCCAACCCTACCATTGAAGTAGAATACATGGTCAAGTTTAAAGGGCAAGCCCTGGTACAGATATCAATGGGTGCCATATCTTATTGAATGTATGGGGTGTATGGGGTGCACCCAGGGGCGGACTGACATGGGGCAATAGGGGATCATGGGGCCTCTGTGTCCTTGCCCAAACTCAAAAAAGCCTATGAAAAAGGTACCAGGGGCATCTCATGGGGCCCCTACTGACCCCGGGCCCTCGGGCAGTGCCCGAGTTTCCAAATGGTCAGTCCGCCCCTGGGTGCACCTCTACATTGGTAGATTGTGTGTTTTTTTTTAAAAGCATTGTATTAACACATGTTCACCTCTCTTCCAGTGCTGGGGGGTTTGGGAGAAAAACCAAGTAGAATTTTTATTTGGTACTTGTCTTCTTTTGAGGGACCAGCCCCCCATGCCATTTGTTTGAAATTCCTTTACTAATGAGCCTAGAAAATTGAAATGACTAATTTCTAATATTTTGCTCACATTGACTCTAATACAGAGTAAGATTTGGCACATGAACTTCAGTGATGTTCAGCGAACCTGTTCCAAACTGGTAGCTAAATGTTTTTCATCTCTGACTGTGTCCCTGCTGGGCAGATACACTCTCTATTGGTCCTGGTGACCATTGTTCCTGGGACTGCTATTATTACTGATTGCTCTGCACATGTAGCACATCTAAACTGTTTCACTGTCACCTATACACCAGTTCTGCAACTGAGAAGCTGTATTTTAATAACCTGGGGTTATGGTGAATGTTTGTTTGGTTGCAGAGTGTCGAAATATCATTATTCTTGAGGGGACGGTAGCGTTTTCAAAGGATACAGTGAAGTAGTGGAACAATAAAGGCAGCTTTTGACCAAACTGTCAGCAACTACTGCCTGATGTGGTCTACATGACTCAAAGGAAAAAGTCAAAATGTAAATAATTAAAAAAAATTATACATGAAATGTTATCTAAAAAATAAAATGAATTACAAATTACAGTGTATTGTTTCAGAGACAACAGCCAGAAATATGGTACAGACTTGAGACTTGCTACACAGTTGTATGTACTTTTACAAAGCTGCAAAATTAACCTTTAGTGGCCTATTCTGACACTGTTTACATATAAAATCAGCATTTTTTTTCCTAGAAAATTATTTAGAATTATATTTTAAGCAGAGGTCATAGAAAATAAAATGGTGGATGTTGCACTTTTTTATGTCATGCAATATTTGCAGTAGTTTTTCAAACACAATTTTTTGGGAAGAACTAGACTTTAATGAATTTTAATGTACAAAAACACAATATAATACCCAATTTTTTGGTAAAATATAAAAGATAGTTTTACACTGAGTAAATATTCATGGCATAGAAAGGCGACAGGCTGCATACATTGTATCATCCATAGGCTGCTTTAAAAAGCCTTTACAGATTACCAATTTAGATTTGCACAGGAAGTCTAGTTCTAGAATTATTGCTCTCGATCTGGTGGTTGCGGCAATACCTCACATGTGTGCCGCGATTTCCGCTTACGTACGAATGTGGGACCGATGCAGGCACTCGCCTTTGCGAGCAAGCACAAAAGGATGGGGGAGCTTTACATTTTTGTTATTATTATTATTTTTTTGTTTACACTTTCTCTTTACATTTTTATATTGCTTTTATTGCTATCACAAGGAATGTAAACATCCCTTGTGATAGCAATAAAGCATGACAGGTCCTCTTTGCTGAGACATCTAATCAAGTGTTATGGGTAAAGTTCTGCTTTAAGCCGTTTTAGTTGGCCACAATTTAGGAGTGAGACACCTTGCAGGTTTTCTTGTTCAATATTTTTATTCAGAATAAAGAACAGAGTACATTATAATGAACAGTTGTGTTATGAGTGCTGTTATGCAAAACAAACACAATTAGAGCTACTTAAGAAGTACTAGGCTGAAGGCAACATAACAGTAAATACAAATTGGAGCAGAAAGATAAATCATGACTAAGAATATACAAGTAAGGGGACCCGGCAACAGGGAAAGTCATATTTAAGGCTCCACATTAGTAAAAAGTAAAAAATAAAAAGCTTAGTTTTCTTACTTAAGGCAACCAAATTATTGGAGGAAATGAAAAGCAAGATAAAAGAGAGGAAAGAAGAGGAGAGAACCAGAGGATCTGGTAGGTATAGCGGCCGAAGGATAGGCTGGCATGAGCCATCGATGGGTACAAGTCTCAGTACGCAGTCAAGGTTGCAGTACTGAAGTCAAAATTTTGTGGTAAATAGTGGTCCACCCATGGCTGCCAAACCTTTAAGTGTTTGGAAATACAATCTAATATTGTGGCCTCAGTTTTGCCATGAATCGTCTCAAGAAAACAATGGTCAGGTGTTTTCCCATGCCTTTGCAGTAGTTTAATTCATGGCAGTAGTGACACACAATACCAGTTTATGTGTACAAGTCAGGAGGGCATTTATTCAAGAGGGCTACAGTAGATTGGACACCATGCAGGTCTTAATCAAGAAATCAAAATGTAAGTGTGTTTTTACACTGAAAAAAAGACAGAAATAACTGCTCAATCCTTGCACACTTAAGGGTCTATTTAAAAAAAAAAAAAATCACTGTTCAGAACTCATGAATAATGACCATAATGTTTATATTAGATATAAATTGTACATTTCTGTTTGTTACCTTTTTCAGGGCAAGTGTAGAAACAGATATTTCACGCATGTTACAGGCATTATTGTTATTACACTCACCGTCCATTTTATTAGGTACACCTTGCTAGTATCGGGTTGGACCCTGTTTACCTTCAGAACTGCCTTAATTCTTCATGGCAAAGATTCAACAAGATGTTGGAAACATTCCTCAGAGATTTTGGTCCATATTGACATGAGTTACTGTTGCCTTTCTATCATCTTGAACCAGTCTGCTCATTATCCTCTGACATCAACAAAGTAACTGCCGCTCACTAAATATTTTCTCTTTTTCGGACCTTTCTCTGTAAACCTTAGAGATGGTTGTGCATGAAAATCCCAGTAGATCAGCAGTTTTTTAATACTCAGACCAGCCCATCTGGCACCAACAAGCATTCCACATTCATAGCCACTTGAATCCCCTTTCTTCCTCATTCTGTTGCTCAGTTTGAACTTCAGTAAGTCGTCTTCACCATGTCTAGATGCCTAAATGCATTGAGTTACTGCTAAGTGATTGGCTTATTAGCAATTTGTGTTATGAAGCAATTGAACAGGTGTACCTAATAAAGTGGCCGGTGAGTGTATTTTTTGCATGATGTTGATACATTTGTTTTATTAGTAAAACCCTATATGAGGTGCTTTAGAGAGTTGCAGTTTCACAAGGAGACAACAGGCAGGCTTATAACCAAGAAATCAAAATTAGAATGTACTGAATTATTTGTACTGTATTTAGGTTTGACTGGGCTGTTTTGGACAGCACCTATGCCAGTCATTTTGAATCAAGAGGTCTACATAAGAGCACATTAATTTTGCTGCAAGAAGCGCAAGCATATTGTAGTGAGTATGTGCATATTCTTTAACCGCCTCCCCCCGCCATATAAGGTAATGACAGGCGCAAGGCGGTTCTCTCATTCTGAGAGGACGTCATATAATGTCCTCCCACTCTAACCGCGTTGCGCGGCTCCGGGAGCACGCAGCGCGGCGATCGGTGGTGCACTGTGTCCCTCAGACACAGCAGATCACTGATCAATGGAAAGAGACAAAGATGTCAGCTTGGTCATGTGATCAGCTGTGTCCAATCACAGCTGATCACATGTAAATAGGGAAATGCCAGTTATCAACATTTCTCTCCTCACGAGCTGTCACGCTGACAGCTCGAGAGGAGAGCCGGTAATTGGCATTCCTTGAAGGGGACATGTACACTGATCATCAGGGCACTGATGATCAGTGTGTCCTGATGATCAGTGTAGCCCCAGCAGTGCCACTTGTCAGTGCCCATCAATGCCAGCTGTCAGTGCTCATCAATGCCATCTGCCAGTGCCCATCAGTGCCACATATCAGTGCCTACCAGTGCACATCAAAGCCACATATCAGTGCCCATCTGAGCTGCCTTTCAGTGTCACCTATCAGTGCCAATCAGAGCCACCTATCCGTGCCAGTCAGTGCCACCTATCTGTGCCAGTCAGTGCTGACTATCAGTGCGCATCAGTGCCGCCTATCTGTGCCCATCAGTGCTGCCTGCCTATCAGTGCCAGTCAGTGCCGCCTATCAGTGCCATATATGAGTTCTGCCTTTCATTGCCCATCAGTGATGCCTGTCAATGCCCATCAGTGCCACCTACTAGTGCCTCCTCATCAGTGCCACCTATCAGTGCCCATCACTGCAGCCTCATTAGCGCACATCAGTGAAGGAGAAAAATCACTTATTTACAAAATTTTATAACAAAAACTAAGAAAAAACTTTTGTTTTTCAAAATTGTCAGTTGTTTTTGGTTTGTTTAGCAAAAAATAAAAAACCCAGAGGTGATTAAATACCCCAAAAAGAAAGCTCTATCTGTCTCAAAAAAATTCTAAAAATTTCATGTGGTTACAGTGTTGCATGACCGCGCAATTGTTATTCAAAGTGTGACAGCGATGAAAGCTGGAAATTGGCCTGGTCAGGAAGGGGGTATAAGTGCCCTGTAGGCAAGTGGTTAAATGAGCAATAGCCATTTCTTTTTAAACGAAGAAATCTACATAAGAGTGTTGTAAATATTGTAGTGAGTATCTTCACAATCTTTAAACACTTTGATTAGAATGCTTTTTCAAAAGGACCCATACCAGCCATTTTTAAATCAAGAAATCAAACTGTGTATTTATTTAGCAAAAAAAAAGCCTTCAAAATATTCTAGAGCACAGGCACACAGTCTTTAAACACTTTTATCAAGTGCTAAACCCCAACCACCTCCTTACATTTTTTTGAAACCTAACTTAAAAAAAAAAGAAAAGAAAATAGCCCCCCCCCCAAAAAAAAAAGTGGTGTCCAGCAGTCAAATAGCAGTTCATGTTTTCCTGACACACACAAAAAGTATCTGCTATAGGAGTGTGCAAAACACAATTGGGCAACTTCAGAAAAGCATTTACAACACTTTTCTGGTGATATGACCCTTTTAAATTGTCCTGTGCCTAATCACATGTACAAGATTCAGGTAGTTGTTCTTTACACTGCCTAATAATCTGTCACTACAGTTGCAACAGATTCAAAAAGGACTTACTGCCAGCTTGCAAATAAGCAAACTGGCGACAATTAAGTCCATTCAATCCTGAGTTGGTGGAGACAGAGATCCAGTGCTCAGAATGGGGCATTTTGTGCTCAGAAGTTGTAATGAATGTGACAGCTTTCCACACAGGGCTCACTGGTTGCTGAAGCTGGAGGCAAAGGTATCAAAACAACCAAATAATTGGCCCCAGCCCCATTCAGCAGACAGTTTGGAGATTACCCAGCCAACATCTATAAACAAAAGGGCAGGGATGCTGGCTGACATCATTATCCAAATATGGCAGTGACTATATTTGGACAATGATGTCAGCCAGAATACGCACTCTATCATCTACTTTCAGCTGTGTATATATACAGTATATTGCCAAAAGTATTGGGACACCCCTCCAAATCATTGGATTCAGGTGTTCCACTCACCTTCATGGTCACAGGTGTATAAAATCAAGCACCTAGGCATGCAGACTGCTTCTACAAACATTTGTGAAAGAACGAGTCGCTCTCAGGAGCTCAGTGAATTCAAGTGGGGTACTGTGATAGGTTGCCACCTGTGCAATAAGTCCATCCATATAAGTCCAGCAACTCAGCCACGAAGTGGTAGGCAACGTAAAATGACAGAGCGTGGTCAGCGTATGCTGAAGCTCACAGTGCTCAGACGTCAACCACTGTCTGCAGAGTCAATAGCTAAAGACCTGCAAACTTCATGTGGCCTTCAGATTAAAACAACAGTGCATAGAGAACTTCATGGAATGGGTTTTCATGGCCGAGCAGCTGCATCAAAGCCTTACATCACCATGGGTTTGGTGGTTGTCAGGAGAAAGGTTCTTGCCTGACTGCATTGTGCCAAATGTACAATTTGGTGGAGGAAGGATTATGGTGTGAGGTTGTTTTTCAGGGGTTGGCTTGGCCTCTTAGTTCCAGTGAAGGGAACTCTTAAGGCGTCAGCATATCAAGACATTTTGGACAATTTCATGCTCCCAACTTTGTGGGAACAGTTTAGGGATGACCTCTTCCTGTTCCAACATGACTGCGCATCAGTGCACAAAGCATGAATGAACGAGTTTGAGGTGGAGGAACTTGACTGGCCTCCACAGAGTCCTGACCTCAACCCGATAGAACACCTTTGGGATAAATTAGAACGGAGACGGCGTGCCAGGCCTTCTCGACATCAGTGTCTGACCACACAAATGCGCTTCTGGAAAAGTGGTCAAACATTCCCATAGACACACTCCTAAACCTTGTGGACAGCCTTCCCAGAAGAGTTGAAGATGTTATAGCTGCAAAGGGTGGGCCAACTCATTATTGAACCCTACGGACTTAGACTGGGATACCATTAAAGTTTATGTACGTGTAAAGGCAGGTGTCCCAATACTTTTGGCAATATAGTGTATATGGACCATTATACTGTTTTGAATTAAGGACTGTCACGTTATTCGATGGGATTGCTCTGCATCATGGAGGACTTTATACATTTTGTTGAAGTGTGGTGAAAAGCACTAATTGCTGTGTCAGCAGCAATCACTTTTTATTTTATTTTTAGTTTTATTTTAGTTTTCATGTGTTTCTTAATTTATTAATTAATTTATTTATTTTACAAATTGAAGTTTATTGACACAAGGCAGCAACCATGACAGTTAACAGAAATGTATCCAGATACAAAGGCTAGAGTCAGTGCAACAACATGATATACAGGACAAAATAGAACACAGTGAGACCATTTGGGCCAGTATTCCAATCCAGAGAGCAAGTTTTTATAAAAAGAGAGACAATAAATCCCGACAGGTATTTATATAATCAGAGAAGGTCAGCATGCATATCCCGAACCACCAGAACTCTGTATCTAGAATTCTGTTATTATTTTTTATATTTCATGCATTTAAGAATTTTATTATTAACTTCACAGATTGTTTACACTGCTTTTCTGTAAAGGACAGCTGCCAATTACAATAATTTGTTGGAAAATTCTAAAATAAACTGGGGATTTTTAGGCTGTAGTCATTTTTAATTCTCTTATTCACCATAATTCACAATCCAAACCTTATTCTGCCTGTTTTTTACCCATTCTGTAAGTTTGTATCCTATTTTTGTATGTTGTCAAATATATTTGGATACCAACAAGAATCTTGTAAATATTCTAGAAACTCTTGGTTTTTCCATACCATGCCTAGCATTCTATGCTTTTCTTTGCGATAATCTGTCTCCTTGGTATTTTACCCTTTGTATCTCATCCCTTTGAAATCTGTATATTTGAGGTCAATATGTCAGGCAGAAACACAAATTAACTAAGCTATTCTTCAGGTTTAGGACATTTCTTGCTATGTATTTTCTAACAACAAACTTATTGTCCACTCCATATAAAGCTTAAAGCCCAAATTAACCTTCCAATATTATAAATGGAAGGTGGTCAGGGTGCATAAAGAGTAATAAATAAGGTCTTCTTTCTTATTTTTTACACTACTATTTGATGCAGCGAGCATTTAAAATACCATGTGCTAGAAGCACGCTAGAAAGCTTTTCTTCTGTTCAACATAGAGCACAGTGGTCCAGATATAACACTCCCCCAGTCCAGTGCTCCAAATAACAGCTCTGATCAAGAAATTGAGCACTATTAATTAGCAGACTGGGGAAAGGGTATATTGGACTTTTGGAGACCATGATCACTGGGCTCTTGTGTTGAGCTAAAGACAGACTATCTAGTGTATTGCTAGCACATGGCAATTTAACCATTGCTGCTGCAAGTGTAGTTGTAAAAAGTAAAAAAGAAGTTCATATTTATTACTGTTTATACAACCTGACCATATTATGGCATCACTATAAAAAGGTTTAATTGTGCTTTATATCCTTAAAGTGGTTCTAAAGGTTGAAAGTTATTTATGGGATACCAGAGCAGCTGGAGCAGAGGAGCTTTGGAGCTTAATAAAACTATTGTAAAGAGCAGGAGAGTATAACATGTTTGTTATTTTCTTAAAAATGCCCTTAGTATCCAGGGCCGTGGATACGGGGGTACCACCAGTCCTCCTTTACGGAGCCCAGATCAGCAGGGAGGGTGATTGACAAGGCGGGGGTGCAGTTACTGGAACTGATCCCCTGTATGGTTCTCTCTGCAGCAGCTGAAAGCTGACTTCTTCTCCTCTCCCTCCCGCTGGCTTTCAGCTGCTGAAGAAAGAGCTATACAGGGTATTGGTTCCAGTATTCCCCCCCCCCCCCCCCCGCCGCACCCATCACCCTCCCGGTGCACCATATGTTTCTCCTTACTGCCCAGTCCCCCCCCCCCCCGGTGTGCCCCCAGCTTTGCAGTGCTGCCAGATTCCCTCCTCTCCCTCCCACCATCGGCTGCAAGCACATAATAGGATACTTCAGGATGGAGAGTGGGAGAAAGGTCCGGTAAATATGTTACATTTACCAGGTTCTTCCTTTCTTAAATGAACACAATGAGTGATTGGTACCAATACCCCACTGTGTCCATTCATATGTAGTATCTGATGTTACCTTCCCTCAGCGAGAAGGGGCTCTAAAAGCACATTTGGAGTCCTTTGTCGCTGAAATTTTGAAACCAAAAGAGAAGAAATATGTACGGTATAACATATCCTATGACTCCAATCAGGCATATAAATGGGCACATGATAATGAGAAAAACATAGGAGTAAAGATATGGCATATCAAACAGCTCCCGCCAATGACCCTAATGATTCTGATGCTGCATCCTCTGTATCTTCTTCACAGGTTAATTTGCCTCAATCTGGTGCTCAAATCTAGGGGACCTATAAAGGGAAAAATGAGAGAGAGGGACCTCACATGTCTGCGCCAAAGCATACTTCTTATGCAGGTCATACATGGAAATTTTCACAATCCTCCCAATCAAGAAACTCTGATGTTAGTTTAGCACCACAATCTCATTCTGGTGCCTCTGCTTTAGGTGATATGGGCGTTAGCTCATCTTCTTCAGTCTCTACTATCTTTCACACACAATACTTAACAAATAGGGCTGGCCAGTCCAATTCACCTGGGGGTGATGTATGCAGAGTACCCATTTTTTTAGCTCAGGCAACACCAGATACCAGAAAGGTCTTCAATGTGGAAGTGCCAAACCCCAAATTTTTGACAACCAAACACAATTTGAAGTGATTAAATTGTCCTCATACCAACTAACTACAGAACAAATTCAAGTATTAAGTTTAGGACTTACCTTTTGCCCTGCACAAAAGATTGATCGCTTTGAGTTGATTAAAGATGTGCATTTGTTTGCCCGGAGATTGATGTTTAAAGTCCTCTATGACACAAAGAGTTCAGCATCTGAATTCAAATCTTTGGATAATCATCTATTAAGTAGTATGATAATAAATTATATGAAGGCATTGAATGACTTAATGGAGCTGTGGGATGAGGGACACTATTCAGATGAATCATATGGTGCCCTTGTGGCAATTGGAGATGAAGTTGGGCCTCTTTCAGGGACGACTGCTTCTGCTCCATTGATTTTCCCTCCCCCCCAACTTTACAAACCAAAATCCAAAGTATTTCCCACTTTACAAGGGAATCCTAATATTTGGGCATTTACCCAGCAGGTTACCAAAGAAATTGAACGAGTAAAATGGAAAGGAAGATCAACATACAACTTAACATCAAGTAAAAAGGCAGCCGTGGCAAGTTTGAGACATAACCGTCAGATTGTTATCAAACTATCCGACAAGGGTGGTAATCTGGTGGTAATAGTCAGTATGAGCAAATGGTTATGGATATTTTAAACAACTAAGAATGGTATAAGTAAATCTCTGCTACTTATGTTGATTGAATAATTGAAGTACAGAAGCCTAATCAGTCGAGCTTACAATGCAGGTATTATCGATAAGAAAACATGGTAATTTTTGAATGTTAAGACTCCTAGAGCGCCTACCCTGTACGCTTTACCTAAAATTCACAAAAATTTGACTCATCCCCCTGGAAGACCTATTGTGTCAGGCAGTGGCTGCCTTACGGAACCTGTTAGTCAATTATTTGACGATTACTTACGCCCACATGTTCAAGCTTTGACTTCCTATGTTCAAGATAATATGGGCTTACTAAAGACCCTGGATGAAATTCATGTTCCTGAAGGGGCTTGGTTGGTAGCAGTAGATGTTTAGGCCCTCTACAATTCCATCCCCCATGAAAGAGCGGTGGGGGTTGTTAAGGGCTTAATCTCGGAACGAGGTGTATCCTCATGTCAATATAATCAATTCATCCTTGATATTCTACGGTTTGTTTTGACCAATAATATCTTTATGTTTGACTGCTCCCTCTACCTCCACGTGCAGGGGGTTGCGATGGGCACAAGGTGTGCCCCATCATATGCCAAGAGTGGCAACTCTTTTTAGAGAGGATATTCAGGAATATCTTAATGAGGTACTAATCTGGTGCAGATTTATTGATGATGTCTTTATGATATGGACCGGGTAACTAGTTGAATTACAGTCATTCATGCCCATTTTGAGGCAAAACAGCTATAACCTCAAATTTACAATAAATTGTCATCAGGAGACAATCAGTTTTTTGGATGTTCAGATCTTTATTGAAGGAGATGGTAGTATAGGCTCCACCCTCTTTAGAAAACCATCCTCAGGCAATACCATCTTACATGCCACCAGTTCCCAGCCGGCGTCGTTTGTGTCAAGCATACCCTATAGCCAATATTTTCGGTTGAAGAGAAATTGTACTAATCAAGATGATTTTGAAGTGGAGGCTAAAGCCCTCCAAAATCAGTTAAGAGAAAGGGGATACAGTAAGTCATGCCTAAAAAAAGCCTATCAAAGGGCTAATAGTCAGGATAGACAATCACTGATTCATAAGAAGAAAAAGATCAACTCTGGTACTTA